TTCTTCTTTGACTTAGCAGCTCCGGATTTTGGCTATGACGTTCTTGAGAATTTCATTTTGAGGTTTCTTTCATGAAGTGACTGGTATATTCTATTTTCACTTTGCCCTCTTTTTTTTTAATATGTCTGGTCAGTTTTCTTTTATGATTTGTTTAAATGTGATATACATGTTCTTTTTCTAGTCAGAGCTTTCAGCCAGTCCAATGATTTTTTTTGGTCCAATGATTCTTAAATTAACTCTCCTTGGTCTACTTTCCAAGTTGGTTGTTTTTGAAATAAAGTCCCTTACCTTTCCTTCCATTTTTCATCTTTTGAATCTGTTTTAGTATTTCTTGTTTTCTCATGGAGTATTTAGCTTCTGTTTTGACCATCCTAATTTTCAAGGAGTTTGTTACTTGAGTGAGGTTTTGTGTCTTTTGTGCTGAGCTATTAATTCTATTTCCAAGGCTCTCCTAAATAGTTTTCATTTCTTTTCCACTTCTTACCTCTGTTGCTCTCATTTCATTTATGTCATTTTTTTTAAGCTCTTGAGTAATTTCTTCTAGGAATTCTTTTGGATTCTATAGCCAAACTGTGTTTTCCTTAGAGACTCTTCTTGTAGGGGTTTTGGAAATATTCTCCTTTTCTAGGCTTATGTCTGGAGGATCTTTGGTGTCATAATAATTTTTTTTTCAGGCAATTGGAGTTAAGTGACTTGCCCAAGGTCACACAGCTAGTAAGAGTCAAGTGTTTGGTCTGAGGCCAGATTTGAACTCAGGTCCTCCTGATTTCAGGGCCAGTGCTCTATCTACTGTGCCACCTAGCTGCCTCCATAATAATTCTTTTTGGTCATTTTTTTGTGAATCGGACCACTATAAGGCCTATACACTCTAAGAGTTATCTTGCTGTCCTTAGAAGAACAAGATCACAACTGGATCTACATTACTGCCCTCAGGGACCAGGACTGACCAACCACCACAGAGGTCCCTAGAAATGAATCACAGTTCTTCTTTCCTGTCAGATCCAGGATGAAGATAGGGAGCTACCTCACTGCCCTCAGGGAACCAGTTATCAGACCCACATCCACAAGGCCAAAACTTTTGCCTGATGAGAACCTGGGAGTAAATCTGAGGGACTGAGATTAGAGCTATTGATGGGACACCCTATTCCTTTCTGGTTCTAGATCTTCCATTCTCTGAAAATAAAATAGAAGCTCTAAAGAGGTTCTGTTTGTTGCCTAGGATTGAGTAAAACATCTCCTTGTTAAGGAGACCTGGATAGGTAGGAGCTTCTTTGCTGTCTCCAGGACTGAATCTGACCCACTGTCACCAGGTTCTCACTTTTTACAATAGAGGGCAACACCACACCCCCAGTACCTCAGGCTTGCAAAGTCTCTAGGCATAGTCCTTGACTCTTCCCTATCTCTCAGATTCCACATCCAACCTGTTGCCGAAGCCTATCAATTTCACCTTTGCAATGTCTTTCATATACAACCCCTTCTCTCCTCTGACACTGGTGTAGGCCCTCATCACCTCATACTTGGACTATTGCAACAGCCTGTTGACTGGTCTCCTTACTTCAAGTCTCTTCTCACTCTAGTCCATCCTCAATTAGCCACTAAAACGATTTCCCTAAAGTGCAAGTCTAACCATGTCACCCCCTATTCAATATACTTCAGTAAAACGTCAATAAACTTCAATAAACCTATCACCTCCAGGATTAATACAAAATCCTGTTTGGCAATCAAACCTCTTCATAACCTAACTCTCCTCTTTTTATGCCTTACTGGCATGTACTCTTCAATCTAGTGACACTGGCCTTCTGGCTGTTCCACTAAGAAGATATTCCAACTTTTGACTCTCAACATTTTCTTTGGCTGTCTGCCATACCTGGGATGCTCTCCCTCTTCATTTCTATCTCTTGGTTTCCCTGGCTTCCTTTAAGTCCCAGCTAAAATCTCATCTTACACAGGAAGTTTTCCCCAATCCTTCTTAATTCTAGTACCTTCTCTCTTTTATTATTTCCTATTAATCCTGTATAGCTTATTTGTACATATTTGTTTGCTTGTTATCTCCCCCATTAGAATGTAAGATCCTTGAGGGCAAGGACTGTCTCTTGCCTTTTTTTGTATCACCAGCACTTGCCCCAGTGCCTGGCACCTAGTAGGTACTTAACAAACATTTACTGATTGACTGACATGTTCCTGGGATGATTAAGCCTAGCTGTACCCTACACTAAGCTGTCTGTAAACTTGTTTTCACTTCCACTGCTTTTTTTGCTATTTTCTGAGGCAATACTTAATCTTCCACCATTCTCCAATATATTATTCAGCAAATGAGTTGATATTCAAAATTACAGTTGCCCTCAACTACCACATCTCTCCACTTTCTACAGAAATATCTGCTGACTGCTCATTTGGCACCCTTGTAGTGTCAATTGTTTCATATCAGCTAAACTTTTGCAGGAAATGATATCTTTAATATCATTACATTTGCTTTTTCTCACATCATAATTTTCAGCATCAATGGCTCATTTGGATAAGTTCAGGTTGAAGTTGTTGCATTTTCACATTCTCACCTTCTCATTTTTATTCTTTCTTTTAAGGATGATTTTTACCTTTGTTCTCACTGGTCACTGTTCTAGGTACACTGAGACATATGCATCTGGTACGGCTTCTAAATTAGTAACCAATCATTTCCCAGCTAAGCTATTTGCTGTTCTCCACATACGAAGTTTATCTCTTACCTCAATGCCTTTGCACAAGCTGTTTCCCATATTTGGAACGCTCTTCCTCCTCACTTTTTCTCCCTAGAACTTCTAACTTCCTTTAATGTGCCACTTCCTACATGAGGTCTTTTTTGATCTTCTCCAAGTATTTAATTCTCTCTCCCTCTTGAAATTACTATAAATTATTCTATATATTCTTTACATTTCCTTGTACACGTAGATGTTCCACTGCCCCAGTAGAAATGGAAGTTCCTTGAGGGTGGTACTGCTTTGCTTCTGTCTTCTATTCCCAACACGAAGCATAGTACACAGTCTTGCATGTAGTAAGTAGTTATTACATACTTGTTGAACTGAATTTCATTCTTTGCATTTTAAGCCCCACTTTTTAACAACTCCACCACTATCATTATGAAAAAGGAAGGGAATCACACTGACTACATGATAATTTATTTTTCTCTGTTTCATGGCTTGTCAAGCCAAAGCATTCATTCCCTACTGGAAAAATCTACTAGTAATATACCTCTCCATTCTTAATTCTTGGGCAGCAGGATTAGTATATATTTGGGATTATATTTGAATTATACATGGTCACTTATACATGGTCAAACCTGTGAGAGGCCTTCAAGGACCCAGGATCACCTCCACACTATGGTAAGGCATCAGAGAAGGACTTCTAATAGGGAGAGGGATAAGGACTGGACCCGTGATTTCCCTGGTATAAGAAACTCTCTAGTGAGGACACTCCTACAAATGCACATCAGCACCTTCTCTGCAACTGATAGTCTTGGAGAACTGCCTACAACAATAAGAAGTTAAGTGACCTGTGAAGGTTCACACAGCCAGTATGTGAGTCAGAGACAGGATCTGAACTCCGCTCATCCTGGCTCTGAAGCACTTAAGCAGCTAAGTTGGTGCACTGGGCCTGGAGACAGGAGGATCTGAGTTCAAATTTGGCTTAATTTACTAGCTGTGTGACCCTGGGCAAATCACTTAACCTCTCTCAGCCTCAGTTTCCTCATCTACAAGGATAATAATAACACCTACCTCCCAGGGTTGCTATGAATATCAAATGAGATAACTCTTGCAAAGCACTCTGTAAACCTTAAAGTCTTGTAGAAATGCTAGTTATTATAATTATCACAATGAATTATAAAAATAATAATAACCATATACCCTCCACTGGTATATTCATAAATATCCACACCTTATCTTATGCAATTCTTGCCAATAATAATATTTACATTTATATGACAAATACACTGTATAAGCTATTTTCCTTACAACCCTGTGAAGCAGGTAGTCTAAGCCCTATTACCCTCATTCTACACATGAAAAGCCTGTAGTTTTGGTTAGTTGACTTGCTAATCACACAGGTAAGATTTATCTGAGCTGGGTCATGACCTGGTGGGGGGGGGGGCCGCTGACTCCAGTTCTAATAGTTTTCCTACCATGTCACTCTGTCCTTCTTTACTTTGCTCAGAATGGGAGAAGGACTTTTTAGGAACAACTTTTAGGGACTTTTTTTATTAAGTTGGTTCAGATTATACAAAGCTTTAGCACTAATAGACTAATCAGAAGTTCCCAAACTTATTTGGCCCACTTCCCCCTTTAAAAAAAAAATGACTCAGTGCCCCACCCATCCCCCAAAATCTACTGTCTTTAACCCTATAGAGGTTTTTTAAAAATTTGCATCATTTCAAAAAATATTATTTTTTAAATGATGCATCTAAATTTATAATTTATTGTAAATTTGTGAGGTTTTTTTCCTGTATTGAAATTTTGATGATGCAATATTGGATCATGTAACCATACAGAATCATAATGTAAACAAGTCACTATAAGCACATATTCCTGCCGATACATGCTGGACTTCCCAACAATGGGTAACAGGCTTACCTGCCCACATTTGCTTCTTAAGACCTGTTGGTGGACTTGACCACTGATCAGTTATAACTTGCATTTTTGTGTGTTTATTTGGAAAATATTGTAATCACTATGACTTTAACTCTATTACACAACAGATGAAACAGTACGAATGGTTTTTCAAAATTTGCTTTTCTTTTCTCCTTATGCTTCCACTGCCCCCTGATTTTTATTCAACTCTCCCCAACTACACCCAAGGCTACTACCACCCCCCTGGGTGGTTCCAGTGCCCCCGTGGGGGTGGTATTGTGGGAACCTATGGACTAAATGAACAAAAGCATTTTCACTTTCCTATCTATTGGAATGGTCACTTCCATCTAACAGAGCTCATTCTGTGGGAGCAGAACTATTAAAGAGCAGCTAATATCTCACCTTGTATTGTAGTCGGTGCCGACGCCCCTTCAGGTGCATATCTTTGGCATTAGGATCATTAAAACTGCACTCACACAGCTTACAGTGAAACCGAATCATTTTTCCTTCATCATTGTGCACCTGAGACACCAAACAAAGTTTAGCAATCACATGCAGATTGAAAAATACTCTAAGAACCCCTAAATTGCTCAACTTTCAGACACTGTGCCTACATTTTTAACAATGACCACAAAAACATCCAACTATTACATTCATAATACAATTTTTAGTAGCCTTGATCACTGTTAAAAAAAATTGGCATAATACTCCTGGCAGGTCCCAAAGTGGTGGTTATCTCATATGTGACCAAGATTAGAAACAAACTCAAGAAACTCAGCACTTTGTTTCACAACTCTCTAGTGTTATATGTTGTAGTTATCTCTTTTGCATCTGATTCCCCTACCTGACCATAAGCTCTATGATGGAAATGGCCACGTTTCTTCTAAACTTTGTCTCTTCCCACTGACGAGCATAATGCTTTGCTTCATGTAATCACATGAAGGAGAAACTGAAATCTAACTGCCAACCAAGTGTTGACTTGGTTCTGCTCCAAGTTAGGACCTACTTGTTAAACCAGCTTTTTGTTTTTGAGAAGACCTGTGATATCATCAACATAAAGAACACTCAGTGAACAATTCCCTCTACCAATGCATATTGGCTTCTTCTTGGCAAAGTACAGTCCTGGAAAATTGTCTCAGGGCACTGAGAAGTTAAATGATTAGCCCAGGGTCAAAATGTCAGTATGTGACATGGTGACTTGAATCCAGGTCTTCCTGACTCCAAAGCCACCATACAATGCTGCCCCTCTACCTATTCAATAGACACTTTAAAAATATTTGTAGATTGAATATTAAAAAAAAATTCGGAGGTTTCCTTCTCCTTGTCTGGTATCAGATCTAGGACTTTAATTTGACAGTTTTCAAAGGAACTACTACCATTTCAGCAATCTATCACTAAAAAGGACTTCTCACATTCTGTTCATATTGAGTACAGGTGAGCAAAGTAAAGGGGGTGGTGTGACAAGGTGGAAAAACCACTTAACTTGGAATCTAAAGAGTCACAGTATACTGTTCAGCCTTTTTCAGATCCCATGCCAACCACATTTTTATTCCCCACCAAAACTGGACACACCTTCCCCCTTCTTTATCTGGGCCTAACCATATTACATAATACAAATTTTGGCCTTTGACTTTATTGTGTCATAGCGTTTTTTTTTCTTTCAAGTATAGAAATTGTATATCCCTGTTAAGACCTCAAGCTCTTCAAGGAAATGAACCATCTTACAACTTCTTAGTTTTGCAGAACCTAGAACATAGTAGGTACTAAGTCAATAAAAATATAAATACATACATATGGGTGTAACAGAAAATACCAAAATTAAAACAAGTAGAATTTTAAGAATTTAAAGACCTTTATAATTACAGGAACCTTTGAAAACAATAATCTCATATTGCCTGGGCTAAATATATGGAAGAAACTCTTACCAATAAGGGTTATCTATTCCTAGCATAGGTTAAAGAAAAGTCTTGCAATTTCTAGTCTTAGAGATTTTCAAAATTAAGATAAGACATATGCTAACCTGTTCTGTGTAGATACTAGTGATGTAAGAAGACAGCTAAACAGCATAGAGCACCAGCCCTGAAGTCAGGAAGACCTGAATTCAAATCTGACCTCAGACACTTACCAGCTGTGTGACCCTGGGCAAATCACTTAACTCCAATTGCCTAAAAAAAAAATAGATACTACTGATGTGATCCTGGGCAAATTTCTTAACCTCTCTCAGCCTCAGTTTCATCTACAGGGATAACAATAATATCTACCTCCCAGGGTTATTATGAGGATCAAATGAGATTATACTTGTAAATCACTTTGTAAACCTTAAAGTGCCATATAACTGCTTATTATTATTATTATTATTATTATTATTATTATTATTATATAGAAGGTTCCCTCCAATTTTACAATTTTACATGTTATCAGTGGGAAAAAACTGAATGCCTTATATCTTAGATGGCATGTTCAAGCTCTTAATAAAAAGCTCCATATGGGGTTTCAAAAATCACATGCTATACATAAAGAGAGTTAATGCTGAACTGAAGCAGTGTAGTAAAGCAGAAAGAACCCTAGACTAGGAGTCAGGAGACTCCTGTGTTCTAGTCTTGGCTCTGCCACTAACTAACCATGTAACCTGGAGCCAAAAGAGTCAGAAGAAATCAGAAAGCTTGGGTGAAAATTCTAGCTCTCTGCGTGATCATGGCCTTGTCACTTAAGCTCTCTAGGCCTGGGTTATTCATCTACAAAATAAAGGAATTACAGTAGATGGCCTCTAGGGTCCCTTCTATCTCTAAATATATGATCCTAAGATTCTGGAACCCCAGTTCAACTATCTGTAAGAGGAAAAGGGAGGATTCAATGATTTCAGCTATTCCTCCTAGCTCTAACATTCTATGAGTCCTCTCTCCATCATCCTATCCTGCAGAGGCAAAAGAGGTAAAGTTACCCTGCAGGAGAACATTCAGTGGCCTTCCCTGCCCATCTCATGGTCTCCTTGCTGTCACTTTCTAGTACTCCAGCTCCACTTTCTAAGATTTAAAAATTTTCTTCTAAGTGATATTCTAAATTTTTTTTCTATAAAGACTTGCAGGTGAATTTTAAAACTTTTCATAAAAATAGTCTTCTAGTTTTAAAAAATCTGCATTCATTTATATTTCTTAGTTATGATCATTCAAAGTCTCACATTAAATGGTAGGTATTGTGTTGATTCAGATAACAAACACTATTCAATATTACCTCTTCCACATAGTCATGTCCTACTGGCTGCACATCAAACAAGGTCCCAGAAGCATCCCCAGAATTCTCATGTGTGGACTGTTCATTTGGCAGCTCTGATTTTGACTGGACCACTGTCTCCTCTTCAAGTCTGTTGCCAGCTGCCTGTGGCTTGTTAGTCCCTGAGTGCGAAGAACTGAATTACTTATAACCAGCTCCAGGTCTAAAACTAAAAGTCATCTATATCCTATCATTAGGGACTATGTTACAAATCCATCACAGTATTAATTCTCCTTACAACACCAAACAATCATCTCCCAGATAGGCCATCCTATAACTTTTCCAGCTCTCAAAGCTATGATTCTTAATATGCCCAAGGAAATGCCAAGCTTATAGTTTTTTTACGCAACCAGTCCTCAAAAATAGAAAAGTATGATAAGTTTAGTTATCACAAACCAGGAACAACTCAAAATCAAAAGCTATCAATTAATCAACAATGAAGTTCTTTAAAAATTATTGCCTTTACCCAGCAACTATGAAATATGTGGGATTTTGCTTTAGGAGCACATATAAAGAATATGATATTATTACAATCACTTAGAGCTTCTACAGTTAACCCTCCCACATTGCAACTTTCCCCATCGTGGTTTCAATATATCACATGATGGCATAAGAAATTAACTGGGAATTTTTGGGGAGTTTTGTGGCAGCCACAGATGATACACAAAGGCCAGCAAACAACATAGAAAAAGTTAGAAACTCAGAAATGCATAAAACATACACATAGTATTGCATAATATCAACACATTTTATCTTTTAATACCATAATAATTCAGAATTCTGAAAGGAGGGCCAAAAACTCTTACAGAGATTTTCCAGATCCTGGGGGCACCCCTGTGACGTGGAAGGGATAACTGTACCACATGCTTGCTCAATAAATGTTTGTTGATATATATATATAATAGAGGGAAAAGTCTTATAGAGTTTGGTCAGATTCTTTCCTCTGTATCTAAAATTATACTTCCTATATGTTTCCTAGGCCTAAGAGAAATGGGATACAAATGGCCAAACCAAGAAATCTATAGCTGTAAAAATGATGCCTTAATCCACCACTTCCCCTGCAACATTCTAGAGGCCGAACTGGTTCACTCTAAAAGCCAATATGTAGAAGGAAGTTTTTCTCAGTAACAGGGATGCTGGGCACACAGCTGGAATGGTAACCATACCATTCTCTAGGACCTACGAGACAGAGGCATTGCATCCTCCTAAGGTTAAAGGGAAGTAATGAATCCATTGTCTAATTCTTCCAAGAACTCCTTGAAGCAGACTAGTAGAACCACTCAGCTCCTGGTTGGGGAAATACCAATGGCCTTTCAGTATGTCAGTAGCAGAGGAGGAAAAATAACTTAGTTCCTTGGATTCTTATTTCATACTCTTACCAGAAGACAGAATTTTTTGTTTCATAGACTGTTTATAAACAAAAATGTCAACTAAAATTACTTCTAAGTCTGTGAAACCATGACAATGAAAGTTAGTTGAACTGAATTAAATCAAGGATTATTTCTGAAATCTATCCAATACTCCTGAGTCTGAAAGTGTAGGAGATCTGCAAGTGTTCCTTCAATAGGCACTTCAGAAAAAGAAGTGGGCAATAATGCAAAGAAAGATATATGAAGCAATGCTTCAGTAACAATTAACTGAATTTAAAATGAAGTTTAAAGAGACATACCCACATATGTTATCTTTGAGGTAAATGGTTTCTTGGTCAGTACTGGCCTTCTTGGGTAGCTTGTGCTGTTGGTGATGGCTACATTTGCTGCTTTAGCTGGTGTGACAGAAGTTGTGGCAGTAGTAGAGACATTGGGAGCCAGCTTATTTACTATGTTGGTAGGAACAGAGTTCACTAATACTGGCTCCACCGAAGGGATGGGTTTCCCCAACTTTGTATGTAATTTAATAACCTGAAATACACCATATAACAATTGTCAAGGAGAACATGTTCAAGACTAGTAGGCACAGCTACTCCTAACAAATTCCTAGGAAGGACAGTATTTCTATAAGAACACACTTAGAAGCCATTCAAGCTACAGCTTTAGTTTTCTTCCTGCTGAATTATAAGCTTCATGAATGAAGGGACCATGTCCCAATAATTTTAACTGACATTTACACAGTGTCTTAATTTTTGCAAAGTGTTTTATATATATCATCTCACTTAATATCATACAGTGCTTTTCACCTAACAGGCACTCACTTAATTGCTGCTGAATGAATGGTAGGATGAATGTCACCAAGATTTACCTTTTTTTTTTTTTGGATCAGATCTATGATTTCATTTATATAGGGAATTTCCAAGAAGGAAATACCCTTCACCAGTGCAGAATGGCACGTGCTCTGAAACATATAGTCTCAGAGAGTTGCCTTGGAAACAGAAGTTAAGTGATTTGCCCAGGGTCACACATCCAGCATATGTAAGAGGCAAGTCTTGAACCCAGGTCTTCCTGACTTTAAGGAGTACTTGAAAATGAAAGGTGAGGACCAATAGCTTAAAAGCGAACTATAGTGCTAAGTAAAGGTAAACAATCCTTTATATATTAGCAAAGACTGTAGCAACTTAAGAGATAGTCATGTTTCCAATTATCCTTTTGAAAGCATAGGGGAAATTATCCCCAGGCCCTGAAAATTAACAAGAATGCTACCACTCACCTTTGTCCCACAGTTATAACCTGCTCATGTGGGTGGTAAGTTTAGTCACTCATATTGTGGTTTATACAACTAGGATATATACAATACCTCCCCACCCAGTCAGACTTATGTATGTGTCTATGCCTGTGTTTGTGTATACTTGGAGGGCATCAAAATGTATATGCATTCTCTTAACATCCTATTCAAAGATAATATATTACAATAAGTCTCAAATTCATGTGGCCATTCCAATTAGTAGGGCATCAAAATGCACACCCAATTTCTTAACTTCCTATTCAAAGAAAACAGATTATAATCAGTCTCAAATCTTAGGTGCCACTCCAATTAGTATATTTAATTTTATTTTCACAACTCCTAACCAGGGGGTTAAAAAAATAAGTAACCAAAGAATCAACGTGATATGCCCCCTTATAGCTTAAGATCCCTCCTAGATTGGGTATTCAAAGGGCAGAGATCTTGGGGTAACAGAAACTCAAGGAGTAAATGGGGTTTCTGAGTAAGCAGGAGAAATAGGGTACAGTGAAGCAGACCATACCTTCTGATGTTTGGATCCCCGAATATGTGCTGCATATGCATCTGCTCCTGTACAAGACACATCACAGAGCTCACAATGCAGCTGTGTTTGAATCCCACGCAGGCCAACGTTTGATTGGTTACCCAACTTCTGAGCTGCCTCTTTCTTTTTGTGCTTCTGTCCTTCTAAATGCTCCCTGTAGGTCTGTAATCAAAGAGTAAAACAAAGCTTAGCTCAAGATTTGCACAGAGATCGGCCAAACACTGCCTCTTCAACATAATTCACTAAGTATCTGTTCATCATTAGCTTGGCATTCCTAACATTTAGGCACTGGGAACTAAAAGCCTATTGTTGTGTGTTCCGTTCATTCATTTGTGAGATTCCATGTGTATGTGTAACCTTACTGACCACAACTAATAGTCTTAGTATCATCAGGCAAAATAATAAACAAATGAATGAATCGACAGACGGATACAGAAAAAAAAAAGTAGATGCAGATATAGGTAGATTAAAAATCAGTTTCCTTTCATTCTTAAAAATAAAGCCTTACTTCTTAAGAAGGCAGCAACTTAAGAAAATTTACTTAGGATTTAAACCACTATAGCCTTTTCAGAACTTGTCCACAGACACTAAAGCAGCCTACGTTCCCTGAAATAACATGAAATATATTTCCCTTTTCAACAGCCACTAATGAACAGAAGGACTATTCACTACCAAGGAAAACTATAATGGATCATTAATTCTCTTGTCCTACACTATGCCAATTTCGAGTATAATCAGTTGTCCTCATCTTGTTATTTCTTTAAAACAAAAGGTCCTATGACCACAACCTCAAAAATTGTTTTAAAGTCAATTTAGTTATCAATGTCAAATTCTATCTCCACTCTTCCTTCCCTAATATATTTTCTTTATTTCTCTGAATTCACCGAGTAGACTGCTACCACAGCAACAACTTTCAAACAAGTGCTAAAGAGAACTACTGACCAAAGCTCAAGGAGTGATCCCAAGTCAAGATTCTTAATGGCATGTGTATATCAGCCATGAATTATTAAGGTAAAACAAGTTACCTGACCAACTAATTGTCCATGGCTCCATCAAATAGTCAATCAATAAGCCTTTATTAAGCACCTACTATGTGTCAGGCACAATGCTAAGTAATGGGAATACAAAAAGGCAAAAGACAGTTCCTTTCCTAAAGAAATTCAGTCTATTTGGGGAAACCACAACAAACAAATATGCACAAACAAGCTATATACAGGATAAAGAGGAAATAATGGACAAGGGAAGACACCACAATTAACAGGGATTGGGAAAGGTTTCCTGTTGAAGGTAGGATATTAGCTGGGACTTAAAAGAAGCCAGGGAAGTCAGGAAACTAAGATGATCAGGAAGAACATTCTAGGCACAGAAGACAGCCAAAGAAAATGCCTGGAGTGGAGAGATTTAGTGTTTTATTCAGGAAACAACAAGGAAGCCAGTGTCACCGGATCAAAAAGTATGTGGCAAGGGTAAGGTGTAAGAAGATCGGAAAGATGGGGAGGGAAGCAGGCTATGAAGGACATGAATACCAAACAGAGGATATTTGATCTTGGAGGTAACAGGAAGCCACTGGACTTTACTGAGTAGGTAAATGACATAGTTGGAACTAAACTTCAGGAAAATCACTTTGCAGCTGAAAGGAAGATGGTCCGGAGTTGAGGAAGACTTGTGGCAGGCAGACCAACGAGGGGGCTATTGAGACGGTACAGACACAAGGAGATGAGGGCCTGCACCAGGGTGATTGCCACATCTGAGAAGAGAAGGGGGCATATTTAAGAGCTGTTTCAAAAGTGAGATGGACAAGCCTTGGCAACAGATTGGATACAAGGAGTAAGAGAGAGGAAGGAGTTGAAGGTGACATCTAAATTGTGAGCTCACCTATGGCCTTATCACTTGTCCAAACCCACCCAAAAATTATAACATTTAGTCCTTCAAAATAAGCCATTTGTAAGGACATTACAGCTCTCTTCTTCAAATGTTTGTTGTATACTTTTAGTCTGTTATATGAAGTTGAGGGTACAAAAGGTCAATTACAAGCATTAACAGCAATTCTTACTTCAAAGATTCAAGAATCTGTTATTACACCAATACAGACTGCAAACCCTCAATATCTCAACAGATAGTTTCATGAGCTGTGATGGCCTAAAAATTAGTCATCTAGTGATCAATTCTCAAGCAACAGGCCTGTGTGCTTAACAATAATAATAATAGCTAACATTTCTATAGCATTTACTATATGCTAGGCACTATGCTACAGGCTTTACAATTACGATCTCATTTGATCCTCACAATAACCCTGGGCAATAGATGCTATTATTCTCATTTTATGGATGAAGAAGCTGAGGCAACAGAGGTTAAGCAACTTGCCCCAGGCCATAAGTTTCTGAGGCCAAATCTGAACTCAGGTTTTCCTAACTCCAGGCACAGTGCTCTCTCCACTGCACAACCTAACTGTCCATAGATCGTTAAAGGACAAACATATAGACCTTCACCAGGATCATACAAAAAGCCTTTTTCTCACAGTTGGTAAGATCTGTCAGAGCTTGTGTTCCACTGGTATAATCTTAGAGAACCCAGATTGTATCCAGAGAACATAGAAGGTACTGGACAACTTTAGCGGAGAACAATACCAAAGACAGTAAAAACTTTGGTTATATAAAAAAATGGATTATCATAGAGTTTCTACACTAAAAGAAATGAGAAAGCAATTACAATATGACCAAATCTACTAAACTGACACCACTAAAACACAACTAAGTCAGTATCAGGTAGCTTCTAAAGTTGACTTGTATCTTCAGCAGCAGATAAGACTACCCCAATATTTACTCATAAACCACTCCTTTCTTTCATATCATTAAAATGATATAGTTTCAAGGAAGGGAAAAAAACAAGCATTTACTATGTGTCAATTATGTGCCAGGAACAGTGCTAAGCACTTCACAAATATCATCTCATTTGTTCTTCACAACTCCCCTGGAAAGTAGTTATTATTATTTTCCCCATTTTACAGGTGAGGAAACTGACAGAGATTAAGTGACTTGTCCAGGGTCACACTGCTAGTAAGTGTAAGTGTCTGAGGCCAGGTGTGAAATCAGATCTTCCTGACTCCAAGCCCAGCTCTACCTAACTGCACTAACTAGACACCTTTAAAAATAGAAAAAGAAGCACTCAGTTCTAATACCTACCAAATTATATTCTTGGTTTATAGGTAAGTTTGTGTTGTGAACTTTTTTCACTTAGATCACAGAAACTGCTTATAGAAAGCAATGGTTTTTATCTTCTCACCTAATACCAAAAGGCAACACAATATAGTAGAGAGAAAAATGGACTTGTAGTCAAAGGTGCTGATTTTTGTCCTAGCTCTTGCATGCTTAACAACTTATATGGTCATGAGTAAATCACTTCATTTTCCTGGACCTCATCTGTAAAATTAGGATAATGTTACTTCTATTACCTGCCTTCAAAGAATGGTTGTGAGGAAAGCACTCTACGTGAGCTATTATAACTAACAGCTACAAATAAATGTTTTGCTTTCTTGCCTTAGAAGCTTAACTGTATTAACCTCCTGAGAACCAAAGGTAGTGAGCAAATAATTTTGGTTCTGTTAAGGAGAAAGGAAATACAGCAGACCTTCAAGAGCAAATCTGTAAGAATGCTCTATCTTATTCTTTTCTGAATCCCCCTTACCAATAAGTATTCATTGAAAGGTTTGTAGGCCATGACATATAAGGATCAGGTTAAAGAATTTAGGGACACTTAGCTTGAAGACTGCAAGTCTAGGGGAGGGAAGATTATAGCTGTCTTCAAATATCTGAAAGACTGTTATTTGAAAACGGGATTAGATTTCATTTGCTTGGTTCCAAAGAGCAGAACTAGATGGAAGCTACTAAAAGACAGATTTTGCCTTGAAAAAAACTTCCTAAAACCTAAAAGTGGAAAAGGCTGCCTTGAAATATAGTTAATTTCCTGTTACCCAGAAGTACTGAAGCAGAGAATGGATGACTTGTTGGGAATATTACAGTGGAGATTCCTGCTCAGGCATAGGTTGGATGAGGTGACCAACCACTGAAAGCCCTTTCAACTCTGAGATTTTATGAAAGAATGAATGAATGAGTGAATGAATGAATGAATGAATGAATGAATGAATGAATGAATGAATATGTAACAGGGGGAATTTCTGCTGACCTGGGGACCAGCACAGCTGATCTTGCAGATGTCACAGTAGTACAGCTGGGGTTGTTTGAGGGGGCCTTTGGGTTTTAGCTGCTTGTTCTGAAAAGGTGGTTTCTTGGGAAAGCTACTGATAGAACTGGTACTTGTACCACACCCCACATTGGCCCACAGGGATGGCCCTGTGGGCTTTGGCATGGGAGGAGGCTGCAGAGGCTGTGGTGGAGGCTGTGGATGCTGCTGCTGGGGTGTAATGGGCTGAGGCTGAGGAGGGAGCTGAAGCGGTGGCTGGAGCTGCTGTGGTGCTGGATAGTACGTGTCAGCTGCAGAATACACTGAAGCATCATAAGTGGAATAACTTGATCCTGGGAGGCAGGAGGAAAAAAGACAGCAAATTTCATGAAGTTCATCTTTCATGAAAACTAAGTCACAGCTCATAATATTGTCTCCATCCACACGATTTTCCTTACCAGTATATGATGTCGAAGTGGAACTGTATGAGGAAGAGGGAGTATATGAAGGAAGAGAGGAAGCAGGTGCATTTGGCTGAATAGTTGTCACTTCTGGGTAAGCATTATAGCTTGAAGACGTGGTACTCACTGTCTGAACTGGCTTAATTGTGGTCACTTGTCTTTGGGGCTGAGTTTGAGTATAACCACTGCTAGGCTGACTGTAGCCTCCTTTAGTACCTAGGAAACAAACACATGCCTTTGCAATGGTGTCCCCAGTCACTGTTAGGCTCCTAATACAATGGATCATTCATAGCCTAAAGGTTTAAGCAAAAAGTCCTTTTACTAAAAACATTCCAATCCTCCCACTAAAAAGTTCCTTTAGGCAGTTTAAAAGTAGTCCAAAGGATAAAAATGAAAACCACTGCCAAAAACATTAAAAAGTATAAACAAAGAGGTTACCTGAGGTCTCAGGAGCTCCTCACCAAAGTCCTAAAAGCTCCTTTTATATTTCTCTTGGGCCAAAGGTCCCTGTCCCAGGTTAATTCACCTGGGGGCAAAGCCACTTACTCTCTTAGGCCTTCACCTTCCTTATCTATAGAATGAAAGGATTGAACCAGAATATCTCCAAGGTCCCTTTCTAATGCCAAACTTTATAGTTCTTCCAGCTCCAACATTCTGTAATTCCCGTAATTCTCATGCTATTGAGAGGACCCTACTTTCACAAATGCTAAATTGTGGACTATAAATGGTGAAAGGTCCTACCAGGCTGGAAAGATTCTGAGTGAGGGGCAGGCTACTTGTCTTTGGGACTGAGTTTAAGTATAACCACTGCTTTGATGATCAAAACCTCCTTTAGTAGCTAGATAACAAACAAAAGCCTTTGAAATGAGGGGTTTGGATTTAATGAAGCTTAAGATTCTTTCCAGTTCTAAGACTGTGGACCTTACAAAATACTTAATCAATCAAAAAACACTTATTAAGTGCGTACTAGGCACTGTGCTAAGCAACAGGGACACAAGGAGCTTACAATCTAATGAGAGAGGCAACATGCAAACAAATACATACAAAGCAAATCATCTACAAGATAAATAGGAAATAATTAAGAGTGGGAAGGTGCTGGAATCAAGATGGGTTAGGTAAGGCTTCCTGTAGAAGGTAGGTTTTTAAGTGGGACTTAAAAGAAGCAGGGGGGTCAGTAGTCAGAGTGAAGGAGGGAAAGTACTCCAGGCATGGGGGACAGAGTCAAGAGACAGAGTGTCTTGTTCATGGGACAGCTGGGAATAAAGTGTCACTGACTGAAGAGAACATATTAGGAAGTGAGGTATAAGAAGACTTATATTGGTTCCAAAGAGTAGAACTAGATGGAAGCTACTAAAAGACAGATTATGGCTCAAAAAAAACTTCCTACAACTTAAAAGTGGAAAAGGTTACCTTGATATACAGTTAATTTCCTATTAGATTGGGGGTTAGGTTATTAGGAGTTTTAAATGTCAAACAGAGCATTCTGGATTTGCTTCTGGAGACAACAGGGAGACACTGAAGTTATTTAGGGGAAAAGAGGGGAGTGATGTTTTATGAAAATCACTTTAGTAGATAATTGGAAGCTGGACTGGAGTGGAATAATCCAGCCGTGAGGTAATAAGGACAAGTACCAAAGTGGTGGCAGTGTCAGAGGCTAGAAAGGGGCTATTCAAGAGATCTTACAAAGGTGAAATCAACAAGCTTGGCAACAGCTTGAATATGAGGGGTGAGAGATAGCAAGGAGTCCAGGATTACTCCCAGGTTTTGAACCTGAGGGACTGGGAGTATAGTGTTGCCCTCTACAGTAATAGGGAAGGTTAGAGGAGGAGGGGAGGGAGGGAGAAAGAAATGAGTTCTGTTTTAGATATATTGAATTTAAGATGTCTATTGGATATCCAGTTCCAAGATGTTTGAAAAGTAGTTGGAGATGGAAGATTAGAGATCAGCAGAGAAACTGGGGCAGGGAAGATAGACTTGAGAGTCATCAGCATAGAGATGGTAATTAAATCTATGAGAGCTGATGACATCACCAAATGAAGCAGTATAGAGGGAGAACAGAAGAGGACCAGGACAGAACCTTGAAGGACATCTATGGTTAGAGAGTGTAATCTAGATGAGGATCTAGGAAAGCAGACAGAGGAGGAGTGGTCAGATACGTAGGAGAAGAGCCAGGAGAGAGTGGTGCTATGAAAACCTAGAGAGAAGGGAGTATCAAGGAGAAAAGAGTGATCAAAGGCTGCAGAGAGGTCAAGGAGAATAAGGATTGAGAAAAAGCCACTGGATTTGGCAACCAAGAGATCATTAGCAACTTGAGAGAAGTTTCAGTGGAATGATGAGGTCAGAAGCCAGATTATAAGAGGTTGAGAAGAGAGTGTGAGGAGAGAAAGTGGAGGCACTTACTGTAGACAGTCTTTTCAAGGAAGTTACCTACAAAGGACAGAAGAGATATAGGACGATAGTTAGGTGGGATGGAAGAATCAAGTGAGGGTTTTTTCAGGATGGGGGAGACATAGGCATGTTTGCAGGCAGCAGGGAAGCATATTGTAGACAAGCAGAAATTGAAGATAAATGAGAAAATGGAGATGATAAAGGTGGGAATCTGTTGGAGGAGACAAGACAGAATGGCATTCTGGTAAGAAGTAAGGTCACTTCATCATGTGAGAAAAGGGTGAAGGAGGAGAAGACGGCAGAAGGCATCTGAGTGATGGGAGATGAGGAAGAGGAAAGAAGAAGCTCATGGTGAATGGTCTCCATTCTTTCTGTAAAATATCAGGCAAGGCTCTCAGCCGAGAAAGTAGGGGGGGGAGGGGGAATTATGGGAGGTTTGAGGAGGGATGAAAAGGTTTGGAAGAGCTACTGTGAAAAGAGAGAGAGTGAACTGACAAGGAAGGTATAGCAGAATTGCCTAGCAGCAGTGAGTGCGCAGTTGAGGTTGTAAAACAAATTTGTAGTGGACAGTCAGAAGAGTTGCATGATTTATCTACCTTCTCTCAGTAGCATAAGTGTAGGAGTGAAGGTGGTAAATGATAGGTGTAATCCAAGGTTAAGGCTTAGCTGGGAATAATCGGCAATATAATAAGAAGGCTAAGGATTCAAGAGAAGTGGACAATGTCAAGTTAAATTGATTCACTAAGGGGTCAAGATAGGGAGAAGAGGAAAAAATGGCTAGTGCAGGAGAGATGATCTTAGAGGTCATTAAGGAGTCAAGGGATTGGAGGTCACAGTGCAGATGAAGAGTAGTGTTTTGAAAGGGAAGGCATAGAAAGAGGCAGAAAGCCAGTAGATTATGATGAGATAAAGGGATTTCAGAATTCTTGGCTATGGAGGCAGCACATTTGTGGGTGATGGCAAGATTAAGAGAATTTTATCACTTGCTTCTGCTTTGAGGAAACTTTCTTAATAAGCCCAGTTGTCAAATCTTTTATTTTATCTAATATCCTATATCTACAAGCTTTCTTTGAGACATTAAGAGATAATATACAATACCTGAAATTCACATCTTCTGTCTTCATGTGTACCTGGAATTTATTTTCAAATAGAAAAAAATGAATCCATTTCCCTGCCACTACCTTTTGTATTCAATGTGTTTTTATATATGCACATGCTAGGTTCTAGCACCACCTACCTGACTGATAGTAAGAGTCTGTGTCAGTGTGCTGAGCCTGGGTAGCAGTAGGCTGGTAATACGGTTTATTCTCATAGCTGCTAGCAGGTGTGGATCGTCCATAACTGTAACTATCCTGTATAAGATATTTCAGAGAACAGACACAAATGTCAATTGAATATACAGTTCAACAGTGACCAATTCAGATTAAATTAAATACATTTATGTATATACATACATATGTCTGTGTGTGCATAATTAATGTTTTTATATGATAAATTGCCTTTATGTTGAACAATGCTTCATATGGCACTTTACATACATGAGTTCATTTAAGCCTCACAACAATCCTTTTAGGCAGCTATTACAAATATTATTATCACTGCGCATTTATAAATGAGGAAATCAAGAAATTAACTGAGTTGGCCAAGATAATATGCCTAGTTAGTGGTGGTCTTAGAGTTTAGAACAAGGTCTTCTGATTCCAAGTCCAGTGTTTTTTCCATTATACCACACTTCTTCTCACACTAGGCACCATATGCAAAGTACTATGGGAGAGGCAAAAAGGTATAATCAAAACTAGAAGTAGGTGTAAGCAAGCTAGGAAGTCCAAATCCTAACTCAGACACTTAACTGCTACATGACCCTAGGGAAATTACTTACTTAACCTTTCTCAGCTTCATCTTAAAAATGGGGATAATAATAGCATTTACTTTGCAAGGCTGTTGTGAGGATGAAATGAGATAATATATGTAAAGTACTCTGTAAAACTTAAAGTGCTATATAAATGTTATTTATTATTATAACTAAGGGTATAACATGCACAAGTATGGTACTTTGAAAGGATACTTTTTAATATTACTTTTTTAAATGCCAGAAAAAAACTGTTTAAGAGGCATGTAGCTACATATTTTAACTATTATGTGAAAAGCACCACACTACACACTAGACATACAAAATGACAGTCCCTACCTTCAAGGAGCTCATATTCTACTGACAGTAATGAACATTTAAGCATCTATATTCACAGTACTGTGATAGATTCATTTTGTGATAAGTCATCATGTATTACAAAGAAGGTTTAATTCTTCTGTTAGACAGCAACACAGGGACCATAATTTTCAAATCTTATCTCAAGAACACATATTTCTTATTTTAGTTCTAGGTATAAGACTGGATTCCTAACTTAAAGAGCCCATCAGTCTGGTTTGACACACAAGCCATTTATACTCAATTACCACAGATGTTGGTAGTTAGGGGCATAGAAGGAACTGGAGAGATTAATCATCCTGCCTAACTCCTCATTATAAAGATGAAGAAAGTGAGGTCCTGTGAGGTAAAGACAATATAAGCATCAAGTTGTAGCTGCTGAGCCAAAATCTGAACCACAAATTCAGTGTTCCTTATATGTGGTTCAGAGACATAGAGTGATTTGTCCAAGGTCACAAGGGCACTAAATACCAGGACTCTCTCCAAGGGTCCTCAGGCTCCCCTGCCATACCCTGATTTCACTTAATCCACAAAATAACCAAGGGGGCTAGAATGGAGTTTTTTGGACAATACTTGGCATTAGGATCTTGGTAGCTGAGCCTACCCTATACTTTTTCATATCATCTAGCACAGGGATGGGGAACCTGTGGCCTCCAGGCCGCATGTAGCTCTCTAGGTGCTCAAGTGTGGCCCTCTAACTGAATCCAAACAAATTCAGATTTATTCTGTGAAGTTTGGATTCAGTCAAAGGGCCACACTTGAGGACTTAATCTAGCAAATTCCCTACACATGGCTCAATAAACATTTTTGAAAGACTGATAAATCCAATCATCAGCTTGGTCAAAAAAGCCAAAAAAAAAACCAAACTACAAAAGCTTCCTAATATTTCAAAGTAGAATATGGCAGTTACTTATGCTGATATACCATATTGGTTCTAAGATGTGCCACCCTTGTTTTCCCAAAGTCACTCTCCTCTAAATAAGCTTTAACCTGGCCAGAATAGAGTGAGGTAGATATACCTCTGATACGTTGAGCCCATAATAGTAGCTAAAAGCAAACTATCTAACTTTTCCAAAAATCAACCTCTTTGACAAATGGAAGTGAATGGATGGATCCCAGAGGGAGAACCTTACTACCCAGGAGGAAGAAGCTTCCTGGATGGATTCCGACCAGGCTCTGATGGAGGAAAGGAGAGAGGACTGATAGCTAATTTAAGACTTTATGATGGGACCCCATTAGACTGTAAGCCCCTTGTGGACAAATATAATTTGATTCTTGGTATTTGTATTCCCAGTGACTGACACACAGTAGGTGCTTCATAAATGCTTGCTGATTGATCATAGGCCATTAGCAAATGCACATACATATATCACCCCCGCCCCCCCAAAAAAACTGACAAAGAAACAAGCAATTTCCTGTTATCAGAGGGGCTCAAACATCAACAGTCACTCCCTCTACCATTTGTATCTACCTCTCTCTATCATTCCCCTCTCTTCCTTCTCTTCATCCCAATCTTTAAACTTAGCCATGGAACCCACAGACCTGGCTCAGTTAGTTTACTTGCTTGAGATTAAGAAGTTGTTGACCCCTGGCATAAAAAAAAAAAAGTCCCACAATCACACAGAGTATAAGGGCAGTGGAAAGAACTCTGAATTTAGGAGTCAAAAGGTTTGAATCCCAACTCTATCATTTACTATCTTCTTTGCATGTTACTGATGTTTGCAAATCAGGACAAAAAAATCTAGAATTTCCCCAAAGTACTATATTAGCCCAAATGTAAATCACAAGTTTCCCTCTAGATTAGGCTAATGTAAAACTCTAGTGTAGCCTTTAAGTACGCTCTAAGTTTCTGTTCATTTTTATCTTTACTGCTCTTTGTGACAAAAAGTGATGATAAGAATTAATACAAAGTGAAGTAACGGAAGAAGCATTATGCTGAAGAACATGAATCCTGACTTCTAGTCTGTATTCCACATTTAACTTGCTAGAGGAGCTAGAAGCAAGTCATTTTACCTTTATAAATTATAATTTCCTCAATCAGGAAATAAAGACAACTGGACTAGATCATCTCTGAGATCCCCTCTAGCAATAACATCTCATACATTTGAATTGGAAAAAAAAAATTAAATGTTAAAAAGAAAACCTTCCTCAGTAAATAATTAACAAAATTTTGAATATGGTAATTTTATGTAATTATTTTATATAATTTTCCAGGTATATCCATCTGTCTTTTCCTTTCAAAAATATCTCATTATAGAGGTATGACCTATATTTGAAGGCAGCATGTATTAATATCAATATAGTAGATTAGCTGTCAAAGAAAGTATCAGAAGCCCTTTTGAATCTAATACCTGGTAATTCGGTGTTGTGGTAGGCTGCGAGTTTAGTTCCTGCTGACGAGTGCTATAACTGTAGTCCTGACCTGAGTGGGCTTGGTATCCACCAAAACCCACTGAGGAGATTTGCCGGGGCGTTGGGGTTGTAGGGGCATAAGATGCTGTCACAGCTTGGGACACTCCAGGACTTGGCTGGACAGAATAATTTGTTGCAGTGCTTGAGTGAGAATAAGCAGTACCAGGCTGAGTGCTAGAACCAAAGCAAACACAGAAGAATCCACCAGATTAGTTTAAAGATTTAAATATGAATTTCAGTTCAATGCACAAAATCATTCACATTACACTTTGGCTATATCATTTAAGCTCAAATCTACTTATAGGTTAATATGTTTTTCTTAAAATCAAGGTACTTTTCTTTGCAGAGCAAGCTTAATTTTAATAATATAACTCCTCTGCCCACTCTAGTTGCGTGGTGCCCTGGGATGGTACACAGAGATGTTATAATAGTATGTATCTGTTTACAGAAGAGCAACTTGACCTAACCTATTAATTATATAATGTGGTAAAATGAAATATGAGTAGTAAGAGACAAAAACTATCAGAACATATCTCCTTAAGAAGCTTATACCATAGTATGAGCACTGAAAAATATAACCATAACAATGAAAACAATGCTTGCATGGATTGAAATATTTAGGCCCACATAAGAAAGAATGCAAAAGAATAGCAGCAGACTATTCTTTCTCAGTATCCAATTCAATGACATCTATTAAGCACCTATGAACAAAGCACTAGCACTGAAGATGTGAAGACAGGTATGACAAACGGCCTGCTCAGGAGCTTACAATCTAATGGAGTTATGGACAAATATGCACACACTTACACACACACACACACACACACACACACAAAATGATACAGTAGAGAGTGAGATAAATGCAAAAGAGAAATCTAGACAAAGCACTATAAAAAATTTGAGGAGGGAGAGACTAGTTTCACCTAGGAAGATGGTAGTATCTGTGTTGACCCTACAAGGAGGAACTAGATGGAGACTGGAGGAGCAGAGGCGGATAAAGGATTAGGTAAGCACCAGCATGGAGAAAAGAGAAGACGGGACACAAATAGGCAACAAAGTTAAATTTAGCTACAATATTAAATATGTAAAAGAGAATATGATATAAGGATGAACAACAGGATGGAGTCAGATAATGGAAGGCTTTGAATCTAGAGTCAGATCTTAATATTTTATTCAAGAGCCAATGGAGAGCTACCAAAGGATTCTGAGTAAGGGAGTAACGTAATCATTTATTTCATTAGGAATATTATTCAGGCAGTGTGTGGAAGACGTACTATCAAAGAGAGAGACTGGAGATGTAGTCAGTACCTAAAAAGTAATTAGGGCCTATACTAGGGTTGAGGCAGCTAGGTGGTGCAGTAGAAAGAATGCTAGACCTGGAGTCAGAAAGACTTGAGTTCAAATCCAGCCTCAGACGTTTACTAGCTATATGACCCTGGGCAAATCACTTAACCTGTTTGCCTCAGTTTCTTCATCTGTAAAATGAGCTGGAGAAGAAAATGGCAAACCACTCCAGCATCTTTGCCAAGAAAACCCCAAATGGGATCATGAAGAGTCAGACACAACTGAAACAACTGAACAACAAAAATACTAGGGTTGTTACTGTAGCAACTTTAGTAAGTCACTAGATGTGAGAAATATTACAAAGGTAGGAACGAAAGGCCTTAGCAACTGATTAAACATGTGGAGTGATAGAGAATTAAGAGTCAAAGATGATTCCAATCATTAATTTTTTATTTTATTTTGATACTTTTTTTTAAAAATTGGTATTCCCAAATGTATAACACATCTATTTATTAAGGTGCTATTTTGTACCCTTCACAACTACACCCAATCTAGCTCTTAAATAAAGCCACAGTGTCTAGACAATAATAAATATGTAATTCTACAATGAAAGATAACCATCTAATTAAGCAAAACAACCTCTTATCTGTGATATTTTATGATGTTTTCACCTCTCTCACAAAAGCAGCACCTCTACAAACTTGTGAAAGAATGAGAGGGAATATTTAGGCCTCTAAAGAGAGAATGATTCATAAAAATCCTACATTCTTCTGTTCTTTTTAGGATCTTGTTCTGCCAGTTTCTTTACTGCATTTCATTTTTTAAAAATTGCTTAAGAGGTTTGAATAAAAAACTATCCCAAATAAATTAGACAATTAATATTGTGTAGCAAAACATACATACACACAAAACCATCCATTGATCTAAAGTTTTATTATAAAAGATATTAGGTCAGCACTACCTTTCACACTAAAATATGAATTTCCAGAAAATAAATGGCATTAATCACTATAATGCATCCAGTGACACTGGTTTAGAATTTTCTGTACTCCATTTGCTTAATGGCAAGTAAAGTATACTTTCCAAAAGGCAATAACTAAGACCAATGAAAACATGACTAGGACATGGTGGAAAGACAGACAAGAAGTCAGAAGATTTGAGTTTGAATATCAATACCAAAACTTACAATGGTGTGACCTAAAGCAAGTCATTCTACCCCTCTGAGCTTTAGTTTCTTCATCTATAAAATGAAAGGCATAGGCTGGATGATGTCTGAAGTTCTTTCCAGCTTTAACATTCTATACTATGATCCTACCACTTCTAGACGTTTTTATAGAGCAACTAAGTCTTATTCGATACTCACAAAAATCTTTGAGATGGGCCAATAATGGTAATGTTATCCTATTTTACAGACAAGAAAACTCAGGCTCAAAGAGGCCAAATGATTTGCTCAGTATCATCCAGTAAGTTAGCAACAAAGCCAGGACTAGAACCCACTTCTGCTTTCTCGCCTGGTATTTTTCCATTACATTATAGTCTCCAAAGAAAAACACTTGTGTGCAACATCAATATGGTATTTTTTTCTGAGCAACATAGCCAACATTCCCTACAGTTCTACAGTACCTATTCTACCAACACCAAGAGAAAACTTTGGAGATTTGGATTTTTTTAAAAGCAAAAATGACTCATAGGATCTCTTATCAGCTGTACTATAGAAGAGGAACTCTAAATCTGGTGTCCATGGTGAATAGATTTCAAGGGAACAGTAAATTACTCAGTCAATAAGTATTTATTAAAAGCTTATTGTGTGCCAGGCATTGGCTAAGCACATTGTTTGCTAACACTGGGAATACCAATGCAAGCATGGGAGAAGACAGTACATAAAGGGGGGGGGGGATTGATGGGATAGGTGAGGAAACACAGATACCTATGGAGGCATGGTAGAGAAAGACTGGGATGCAGCCTGGAGAGAAATAAAAATGTGCTTGCTTGGGCATCCTCCTTAAATGGGGGTTAGGGGAGGAGCCATCTAATCAGAAAGAGAAGCCTCAGAGGCAGAGAATACTTCCAAAATGTGAATTTGGATGTGAAAAAAACCATATCTTTATTTTCACTAACCTTTGATTTCCTTTGTAATATTATGTATTTTATCTAAAGCATTCAAAAACATTTTCAGAAGTGGCTAATAGGTTTTACAAGACTGTCAAAGGATGTCTGTGATACAAAAAAAGATTAAAAACCCTTGCTACAGGGAGATCCCTGTTCAAGTATGGTTTGGACTCAGGTATTGCTAAGATTCCTTAATTCAGAATCAGAGGAGATCTCAGGCTTATCAAGTCTAACCAGTCTCTAAGGAGGAATATCCTCTACAACTCTGACAACCAATAATTCAGTTGCTACTTGAAGATTTGCAATGATGGGGAACTTACTACTTTACAAGGCAGCCCATTCAACTTTTGGACTGTACTACTTCTTAGGGATGTTTTCTTTTATTGAGCTGAAATACAAGCCTCTTCAACTTCTTGTTCAACCAATTGGCCCTAGTACTACCCCCTGGGGCCAAATAGAGCAAGTCTAATCCTTCATCCACTTCCCACGAGGCCTGAAAGAAGGCACTAAGAAACAATGGTAGGGCCTATTGTGGTCCCAAGCAAGTTCCTGGATATTGAATTCTTGTTCCCACCTGTGGAGAGGCATTGTATCTCAGCCCTTAGAATTGAACCATGAGGAGCAGCGAGGTGGTGCAGTGTGTAGAGCACCCGCCCTGAATTCAGAAGGAGCTGAGTTCAAATCTGGCCTCAGACACTTAACACTTACTAGTTGTGTGACCCTGGGCAAATCACTTAACCCCATTGCCTAGCCAAAAAGCAAAAACAAAAAAAAAATTGAACCATGAGACTAGAGGATATATATGCAGTTAAAAAGGAAGTTGTTGAAATATGAAGATTACCTCTGTAGCAAGGCCAAATTTATCTCCCCTTGCAGATAAGAGAATTCTTATTAGCCTAAATACTGTAAGCATGGAGGCCTGGATAGGTTCTTGGGGTGAAGGTGGGACTCATCAGAACTTGCCAGGGTTAAAGGACTGAGAGGGTGTTGGGAAGGACCTAACAATCTCAAATTTATTTGTAGTCCAAGGGGACTCCAAACCACATAGTGGTGTCATGAGTTTGAGGGCTGTCCAGGTCCTTGAAGAGAAGGTGGCATTAGTCAGAGAGGGAGAATCATATCTCCCTCTATATGTTATGTATGATATATATGTAGTTCCATATATTATACCATTTAGAGGATCTTGGGAAACCCTTTGCATTACCTGCATTTTCTGTGGGCTAAAATAAAGGTCATTTATATCTAATATGTACTTTTTCCCTGAGTGTTTGGACAGGAACAATCTAGACAAGAGCTATTCTGAGATTCCTAAGGAAAACTCTGCAAGAAGGTAAATGAGCCAAAGAGATGTGATTTGGACTGTAGGCCCAAGTAGAGAACTTAATCTGTGTAAGCCCAGAGCCTGGGATGCTGGACTACAACTTGTATTATTTGGTATATACTTTGTACTTCACTTATTTGCATACATGATGTTTCTCCCCAGTACAATGCAAATTCCTTGAGGGCAGGGACTATTTTGCCTAGCACTGTGCCGTGCACAAAGTAGGTTCTTAATAAATTTTTATCAAAGGGGCAGCTGGTGGTGCAGTGGATAGAGCACCAGCCCTGAAATCAGGAGTATCTGAGTTCAAATCTGGCCTCAGACCAAATACTTGTCACTTACTAGCTGTGTGACCCTAGGCAAGTCACTTAACCCCAACTGCCTAAAAACAAAACAAAAAAAAATTTTGTCAAATTGAATTTCATATGATAACCCTTCAGATATGGTCCTCCATTGCTTC